CAGTGCCTGATTGGGCATATCTTTTTTTAAAGTTGCATGTATTTCTTTTATTTTTCTTTTTTTGGTGGTACTAGGGTTTGAACTCAAGGCCTCACACTTGCTAGGCAGGCACTCTACACTTGAGCCACGCCACGAGCCCAACTTTATTTTTGTCTTCACACATTTTCATTAGTGCATATTAATTGTATAATGTGTGTGTGGGGGGGTCGTTGTAGTATTTCCATACATGCATATAATATACTTTGATTATATTCACCCCCTCTATTAACCTTTTCGTTACTGGGCCTATCATAATGGCCCATACAGAGGCAGGAAATCCCTCTACACCAGCTATTATAGAGTGGGGAATGATGCCCAGAAAGGGGCAGCCACTAGCTCAGGAAACACGGCACAGCAATCTGCTCTCTGACTCACAGTCTCAGAAGCCTCTTTCTACTTTCAGCCCTCAGCTCAGAGATGCTACCTCACACAGACTCTCTCAGATGGACTGACAGAGACCCTCAACACTCACCAAAATGAGGAGACACTCGTTGGCAAGTTCCTGGTGCTCCTGGATAGTGGACAGTACAGACAGCACCAGGCAGCTGAAGACCAGCAAAAATCTACAAATTGCAGCATAAAGGGGAAGGTTAGATGGCTGGAGGGAGGCTGGGAACAGCCGAGGAGCCCCTAGGGTTGCAGTCAGGGAAGGAGGGAAGCACTGTTTGGGGAGAATTCTTTGGAAAGCAGAATCTGAATCAGAATTCTGGGGAGCATGGCTCTGTGCTGGGCACCAAAAGCAGCAGCCCCCAAGCTCCAGCCTACTGAGCTCACCTCCCCACCCTCTCCATGGCACACTGACTCAGCTGTGGCTCAGAGAAGAAGTCACTCAGCTGTGAGAGGCAGTTATGTCCCAGAAAGCAGTGGGAACACAGAAGCTCAGAGTTCCTCTAGGCTCAGCAACCCACAAGTGGTGGCCTCGGCCCCGGCTCAGTTTTAAGGTTGTCTTGAGAGAAGTGCCCCAAGGTCAGCTAGGGCTCAGGAAGGTCAGCAGCTGAGCACCTTCCCTGTACATCCAAAGTAGCAGGACCATAGCCTCATCTGCAGAGTGGAGATGACTGCTCTGCCTTCTCAGGCTCTTATGGAATTCATTATGAGACAGCTACCAAAGGATAAGAGATCAAAGAAGACAGGCAGCAAGGGAGGGAAGCAGAGGAGGAGGTAAGGGAGGAGGGTCAGGCAGCGCCAGTGTGGATCTGGGCCACTGTGCCCTGGAACTCCCCTGTGGACAGTGGGAGGCTACCAAATGGCACTGAACTAAACATTTAGAAAGAAATTTTAGAACGTAATTTATTCAACACTTTTCCCTCAGTTGTACACATGAAGAAACTGAGACCCAGAGAGAAAAGGGGATTAGCCCAAGGTTTCCTAGTATTTGCACGACAGACCTGAGATTTGGGAGAAGGATGCTGACTGCTCAGTGGAGAGGAAGAGGGGAAAGGCCATCAGGTGTGCCTTGATGAGTATGTGCATATGAAGGGAGGTCCAGGGCTGCAGATGCAGCAGAGAGGAAGGAAGCTAGACCCCAGTGAGCATGCTGCCGTGGAATAGGGATGTTGGAGAGTGCACATACCCAGGAAAGACTCTGGAGTCTGGAGGGAGCAAGCTTCTCTGGAGTCACATCCTATTGCACTGACCCACCAGCCTTCCCCAAACCTCCCCGGAGTCTCCCCATTTCTGCATCATTGCTGCCTAAAATACCTCACCAGTTGAGCCTCTGCACACCCTTCACCTCTACATATGGCTACCTGTTCTGCTGAACCTCTGTGATCCCCCATCCTCCTAGTGCTCACCTCCCTATATTTCAGCCCCCTTTTTTTTCTTGCATCTTTTGGGACAGGATCTCACTATGTAGCCAGGGCTGACCTCAAACTCTCAATTCTCCTGCCTCGGTCTCCTGAGTGCTGGGATTATAGGCATGAAGCACTACACTCAGCCAAAGTCACTTTCTACATGGCTTTATTTGGCAAGGACATGGGCATGGGTTCAAGATCAAAGAGACCTGGCTTAGGGTCCCAGTCCTGTTTACGTGTGAGGCCCTGGGAGAGCCACCTATCTTCTCAGAACTTTCTTATCTATAAAACGGACTGATGGCAGGAAAGACAGGTGTAGGGCCTTGCTCTGCTCTTGCTCAATTACATCTCCTTTGAGGGCAGGGCAGGATCTGGGGCTATGTCCTAGCAAATGCCCCTGGATTAAGGAGCAAGTTGCAGCTGTCAGTAAAGGACTTCAGATGAATGAGTCAGAAGGAGGCCTTCTTGCCCAGTTCCGGCCTGCAACTGAGTCAGCAAAGACACAAGGTGGGGAAAGGAGCAGAACAGAGCCACTGCTCCTCAGATTCAGTCCTTAAACACAGCAGAGGCAGCAGCCAGGCCACCTGGCATGGGGACTGCAGTTGATACACGGTACAGAGCATGAAAGACCCTCCCTGTGGTCATCTCGTTCAGCACTGTCCTCTGGGATGGGCTGGAGCCAAATCTTTGTGGGCTTTCACCCTACCCCTTGGCAGAAATCTTCCAGCCCGTTTCTCAGCTGCCCACAGGATCTCAGGCAGCAGTGGGCATGCAGGCCTCCCTACTGGGCATTTCCAGAATTCTTTCCCTCAATGTTTTTCTTCCCATATCAGTAGTTACACATCTATCAAGTGTCCGCTTCACAATAGATTAAGTGGAAAAAAAGCAGATTTATAAATCCTCAAGGGGCATGGATTCTGATGTTTAAAATACAGAGGCTCTCCATACATGTACAGAGCATCTCTGGGTGGCAAAATTAAACGATTTGGCTTTGCTTTTGCTTTTTTTTTTTTTTTTTTTGCTTGTCTGTATTTCCTGGTATTTTTTAGAATATGGGTTGCTTGTTATAAAACTAACATATTTTAAATGCATTTCCTTAAAAATACAAGCAAGAGAAAAAAATCACTTTTAATCCTGCTTCCACTTCTTACTATGATCACCTTTTGCCCTTAGCAGCTGTAAGGGCATGGCACCCACTCCCAGAAGTTCTGCTCACATGTCCACCTGCCTACCTGACATCTTTTCTTGGATGTCTGTTGCCCTCTGAAGCCAAGCATGTCCCAAACCAAACTCCTGATCTGTCCTCAGGTCTTCCTCCTCTCCAGCCTACCATCTCAGTAACAGCACCCACAGTCTTAGGCCAGCTGAGTTATCCATGCTTCTTCCTGTCCTTTACTCTCCACATCGTGCTCTGTAGCAACCTCTGTTGATGCTACCTTCAAAAAATATCCCTGGACAGACCAGTTCTCACTGTCCTGACCAAGCCATTATTGTGGCTCCTGAAATGATCTCCATGCCTTCACTCTCGCCTTCAAAGCAGCCAGAGCAATCTTCCTATAATGCAAAGCTGTAAACCATCACTCTGCTTGGAAGTCTCCACTGACTTCCTATCACACTTAGAGAGTGAAGGTGAAGCTCTTCAACATGACCGGCAAAGCCTAGAGAGGTCTAGCCCCCAGGCTGCCTTTCCAACTTGGATCTTCTCCATGCTCCCGGAGAGCTCACTGCACTTCTACCCTTCAGGCTTCCTGGCTATTCCTGGAACATACCTAACATATGTCCAGCCTCCACTCTTGTTTGCTGTTTCCTCTGCCTTTGCTCCTTAACTCTCCAGGTCTTTGCTCAAAAGTCACTTCCTTATAGAGGACTTCCTCAGCCATTCTCTCTAAATAATGGCCTCCTCCCTCATCTCTCTCCCTTTACCCTGACTGATTGATTTCAAAGCACTGTTAAAAGGCTGAGAAAATGAAGAGCAGGAATTCACATGAAGCAAACATCAAAACACCACATCACCAAACCAACACGTCCAATTTGGACCCACTGAGGCAGTTCCCAAAGCCCCAGGCCCATCCAGGATCTTTCCTAAAAAAGCATGCTCTAACCTTAACCAGCCCCGCTGGCAAACACTGCTTTAAGAGCCCGTGAACTCCACTTCCCCTCCTTAGTCCACTGGCGGGGAGTTTCTTTACCTTGGAGGTTCAGTTCATTTGAAAGGATGTACTTGGTCTGATAGAGAACACTCTGTGATCCAGGCACCTGAATAAATTATTCCCATCTTCCAGATGAGGAATTGAGACTCAGGGCCAACAGGCTTGCTCAAGATCATACAGTGATTTAGGTGAAAGGCTGGGGCTAGAACCCCAGTACCAGCTGACCCCCAAGCTGCCTTGGCCTTGGTCCTCACACAGAGACCTGCTCTGGGTGAAGCAGAGCAGGTCAATGCCTGGAGCCTAAAGATGGAGGAGACAGATAGAAGGAGCCCCTGAGCTATGGTCTGGGTGTGTCTACCACCCAGTGTGTGGCTTCATCATATAACAAATAGAAATGTCCAAGGCCCCTTTAGGGCCTCAGATTCTCCATCTATACTTGTACACAGGAGCTGGCTAGCCTGGGCCCTCTGTGATCTCCACAGTAGAGAACCAGTCTGGCAACTGCTTTCTGGAACATCTTTACCCATCATGTCTGCCTGTAGTCTGGGCCCATGTTCTCACTTGCCTATTCCAAGAGACAGAGCTGGGACAGATTGGTGCTGCCTGACTGAGCTTATCATGAGGTTTATCACAACATTTCCTGTCCCCTCTACCCCATTCTGGGACTAACCCACTCATCTAGGAGGGCAGCAAGAAGATGAGTGCTTGGATTACAGACATGTCCCATGACTCCCAGCTAGCACTTGCATTTCTACAAAGTTCCCCAGTGATACAATGTTGCTGTTCACAGTTTGAGAATCACTAGCTCAGCTGCTGGAGTAGTTTTAGCTGATTCAATTATTATTCAATTCAGGGCTTTTTTAAACAACTGTAGTTGTTGCTGTAACCTCATCCACACCTCAAATCACTGTTCAGACATGGCCGTGGGCAGTGGGGAGAGGGACTGCTGGGGAGGCAGGTGTTATGCCAACATTGGCTCACCCCTGATTCACTGAGTGACCCAAAAAAAAAGTAACTGATCCTCCTGGCCAGGGGCTTCCTATTGGTTGGACACTGGGCTAGGCCATCCAACCATGGATGTCTTATTCTCCTTCGTTCCTTCCTCCCTCCACCTCTTCCTCCTCCTCTTCTTCTTCAGATAGGTTCTCATGTTTTTGCCTAGGGTGGCCCTTCCAATCTCTACCTCCCAACTACCTGGAATTACAGCTGGGTGACTATGACCCATCATGCCCAACCTCTTCACTGTTTCTTTTAACAACCCTATGGCAGCAGGACCATGATTACTGGCAGTGTACAAGTGAGGAAACATGCTCAGAGGGTGTACTGTGATGGCTATACAACTCTGTGAGAACACACAAGATCCTGAAGTATAACTTTAACAGGGAGACTTTATGGTCTATGAATTATGTCTCAATAAAGTTGTTACTCAGAACCAAAGAAAAGACAGAAGTTATATTAACTTTTCCAAAGTTATAAGGTAGAAACTGAACCCAAGACCTCCTGGACCTCTCTGGGCCTTAGTTTCCCTGTCCTCAGCAGAAAAGTCGGGGACAATTCAATGATGGCAAAGGCCCCACCAGTCTGGTGACTCTCCAGCAGTGGGGTGGAAAGGAGAGGGTC